GGCGGGCTCGTAAGGGGGTACCATGCCAACGATCTACACAGATAAAAGAAGTACTACAAATGCAAGGCATAGCTTTCCTGTGTTTGGCACATCTCCATGCTTTTCCTGAAAACTGTAATTCATCACAAGATTGGGTCAATGCTTGCAAGCTTATGTATATGTATAGTTTTTATAGTGTACGACAGCTGTTCGCTGGCACCGTTCGCTGCTAGGACTGCACTCCTCCCACACTCAGCTTAGCTGTGACCTCTGCTGGCCGATGACTTCCGCCTGTGGTGGCCAATGCTTTCTTCCCAAGTCCAGATGATTCAAAGACAGTGGAACAATCATTTTCAGTGTAGGACAGAATTTTTTGATCTAGCAGATGAGATCATTTACTTTTATTGATGTTAAAGGCACACGGACAGGATGTGTAGTTGTGGGGGAAACAAATAGCATGCATTACAATAATGTCAATATTATTCTTTGAGAAAAATTTATTATAACTTTTAGAAAAATGAGACAAGCAGAGCTCAGCGCTTTTACTCTCAGTATGCGGGAAAACACAACCAAAAAAAAAAATAACAAGTCTGCAGGAATGCAATGTTCTTAAAAACTCCATCCCAATCAGTTTTCACTCTCAGTACGCAAGTTCCGAACTGATTATTAGTCCTAAAAAGGGTTAACCTATAATTATCAAGGGGTAGTGTAACCGCAAAAAGAGTAATTTAATTATGGTGCGCCAGAAGTCTTCGTGTGTTACGGTTAGTTCCCAATCCTCTTCGAGAATCTGTCGGTGAAAGTTCTTATTATTCAAGACAGAGAAAAAATAGTGTTGCCACAAATGAAAGAAAAAACCATGATAGAAAAAAGTGAAGAAAAAAAATCGTCAAAGTGTGAATAAAAACGAAGCGCCGAACTTCCGTAACATTTCTTTGGGCTGCAATAAATTTCAATCATCAAAGGCTTCTCTTAAAATAATTTTGGCTACCTCAGCGGCGTTTAGCGTTTTCCTCATCTGACTCGAGCTGGCAACCTGGAATAATGAGGCTTGACCAAGTTGCTGTGCTTTGTCTATACGTGCATCCAGTAATATTTTAGCACTGTACAATGATTGCAAAGGCATTCTTAGCAATTTCATTAATTCAAAAGAAGAAAAATCAACAAATATGAACAAATAACAGAACAATGAATCTCTTCCTCGATGATCCGCATCCAGTCAGATTATATCCACCTTGAAACATGAAACGCTATAAATGCGCAGCTTAAGATAATTAGACTGTCATGTACCAGGCTTCCCAGTGGAAGAAGTGGGGGATGATCAATTCACAGCAGCTCCGCCGCAGTGCTGTTCTTTTAAGATAAACCTCAAATTTGGGTTATTAAACCGATTGTTCAAGCAGAGCTAGGGCATGCTCTATCGTCAAATTATTCAATGTTATTTTTTTGCGATGAATCGGGCAGCTTTCCAGCCACCAGTATTTCACTTCCAAACCCTATGCACATTGTTGATGCGCCCGAAACATAGTCCTCGACTGGGCTTCTCAGATTTCGACCTACGCTATTTATAGGCGCCCGCCATGGCAATTCCAGGAAGTTCGCTGCCATATTATACGGCATTCCAAAAAATACCGGAGCTTTAAAGCCATCCCCTAAGATCTCAACTTACAAATTAACAACTGGGAATGTGCTTCCAAAAAGAAGCAGTCCGGAACACCGGGTGAAATCTATGTCCCTGTACGTACAAAGTATGCTAGCAATGTCCAGTGGATTAAAGGGACGGCGCAAATCTTTGCTTCTTTGTCGCATCCCTTAGATCACATTAGAGCACAAAATACGTTATTACAACTGCGGTACAGTAGTAGCATGTCATCCTCGTCCTCCTAGCGGACCAAATAGACCTTGCAGTACGTTCTATCAGTCGAGCACTGGATGAGTTCCATGGGAAGGGGGTTAATCAAGATGCCAAATAGGTGTGGAAAGTGTAAACTACATAAAACCCAGACGGTCAAAGATAATTATCTTAAGACAGCCTATTCAGAAAATTAGCGTAACTACGTGGAAATCGTTCATTTAATTACGAGAGGTCAGTACGTTCAAAAACAATGATCAGTTCTAGGGTCATCCACGATGCGCTTTACAAGGTGATAAAGTTGGATGATATTTAATTTAAATTCCGGTAGGATGATAACAAATATTGTAAACGGTAATATCGCAAAAATTTATTAAAATTATGCATAAAATAAATCCTAATATCAAAAAAATAAAATCCAGGCTGCCATGCGCCAGGCTCTCCGTGCAATCTTGCGTTTTTGCGCTGAACTTGCAGATCGTTAACAGCATGAACAGTGCTTGCGTTACAATTTAACACATAGGGCGCATGTTAACTGTTTTTTTTTTTTTTTGGCATTTTCTTGTATGCAGGGGAATAAGGCGTTGGTTATGACGGCAGTGTTGATTATTTGGCTGCTTGAAGTTGGCACAATGTCAAGTGCGAATTTTGACGTGACTGTACGCACAGTGTAGGCGTGCATGATAGCTAATTTTGAAATCTGTGGCACACAAATGTATGGGGGACATAATAGAATTTTATGAACTTTGCGGCTTCTAATACAATTTTTTATATTTTTTTTTTTTGCTCAAACGATTTAACTTGCCCTGAGATGAAGGAGAGACAGATATTTCCATCGCGAATATGTCTCCAAAGTCAAAAAATGGAGTAGAAAAAATCAGACAAACCTGCAATCAGTGAGGGAACATACATGAAAGGAATTTGGATACAGTTGCCTCAAATCTCTGGATCTCCTCATCATCCATCACCAGGATACAAGCTTCGAAAAGCAGCTTTATAGCAAGCGCAAAAGCGATCGTGATGCCGTAAAGGATGATAACTGCATACTCCCATAGA